TTTCAATTTGGAGAGAGGAATTGCTCGGGCATTTCCCCTGGACTGCATCCGGAGTGAGAAGATAGGAGGAAGGGGAGAAGTAAGTAGGAAGGTTGAGGAGAAGGAGGAGAGGGGGAGAGTGAGGAAGAAGAGGGGAAGAGGGAAGTAGGTTAGAGGGTGGATGCGGTTTGGGGGGAAATGGGTGAGCAATATTGAAAGTTGTGTGTATCAATTTATTTTAGTTTTTATCTGAAGTATTTTTATGAATGTAATGTATTGCAAAATTGAAAATAAAATTTTTTTATAAAAAAAAAAAAAGAAAAGGAAAGTTGGAGCTTAGGAAGACACCTAAAATCTACATACCCCACCTAAAGTCTAAGACAGGACATAATAGGATTAACTTAGAGATGCCAAAGGGACACAGGTCAAAATACATGACACAGGAAATACAAAGCCTCAAAACAGGAACAGGAAGCAATTCCAAACAAAAGGCTCTAGACCAGTGGTTCTCAACCTTTTTAATGCCGCGACCCCCCAACCGGTCGTAAGTCGAGGACTACTCAACCGGTCGTAAGTCGAGGACTACTCAACTGGTGCAGCACCGTTTGCAGAATGGGACTTTTGGCAGGCTCAGCAGGGCAGAGACAGCCTGGACAATTCCTATTGCTTTTGAAAGCCCATAGAATTAGACTCTATTCAAGAGAGTCTATTCTATTGGCTTTCAAAAGCCAATAGAATAAAAGGGAGTAGCACAGCTAAGGAAAAGGGGGGGGGGGGAAATGGCGGACTGCCATGGGGTCCCGACCTACAGGTTGAGAACCACTGCTCTAGACAATAGGGTATAAAAACCCACTCCCTACATGTGCTCAGCAATTTGTTTGTTTTTTCTCTTTTCTGCCGGACCCATCTTTCTGTCTGGATCTCTTCTTCAATATACTGCAACCTTCTTCCTAAAGCAGTCGCCATGTTTATTCCCAGCTTAGACTGAACCACAATGAAGACTTTTCTTCAACCCACTCCCTACATGCGTTCACTCCTTTTTTCTGCCAGAGCCATCTTCCTGTCTGGCTCTCCTCTTCAATATACTGCAACTTCTTCCTAAAGCAGTCGCCATGTTTATTCCCAGCTTGGACTGAACCACGATGAAGACTTTTCTTTCAACAACATATTTAAAAATAAAAAAGAAATATTTTTCTTGACTTGGAAATGCTTTACACCTATTGACAAGAAGTGTTAAAAGTTTTCGCAAAGGAGATAGAAAAAAAAAACTTTAGACAAACAGCAATGACTCAGCTTATTCAACAAATTGTAGGAGAAATCATAAGACTTCTATTGTTTGAGATATTAGAAAGTATTTCCTGCTAAGTACTGTACATAAGGGCAATAAAACGAACTTGCAATAAATCAGCCTGGATAAGATTCTTTGAACATGGTAAAAAAATGTGTTATACTAGATAACTGTTCTCTCTTTATTCAAAACTAAAGATTCTTCTCCTTCCCAAACTGCTAAGCTGCAGAAAGGAACATATTACAGGTAGTCCTTGACATATAACAGTTCATTTAGTGATGGTTCAAAGTTACAACATCACTGAAAAAGTGACTTATGAGCATTTTCACACTTAATGACCATTGTAGCATCCTCATGGTCATGTGATTTATATTTGGATGCATGACAACCGATTCACATTTATGACGGTCGCAGTGTCCCGGGATCCTCTTTTGCCACCTTCTGACAAGCAAAGTCAATGGGGAAGCCAGATTCACTTAACGACCATGTGACTAATTTAACAACTGCAGTGATTCACTTAACAAATGTGGCAAGAAAAGTCGCAAAATGCGACAAAACTCATTTAACAAGTTTCTTGTTAAACAACATACATTTTGGGCTCAGTTATGGTCCTAGGTCAGTGATGGTGAACCTTTTAGAGACCAAGTGCCCAAAAACTTTTGTCAGGGCCGTTGTAACTTTGAACGGTCCACTGAATGAACTGCTGTAAGCCGAGCACTACCTTTATGAAAATCCAGACATTTAAGTTGTGCAAGTAAAGGAGTTACGGAAAGACACAGCTCTCAGAGTCTTTTAGAAGAGGAAGACAGAGGTGCTACTGATCCTTCACCAAGGAGGCAATGTGTGTACATTTTGATTATTTAGGTAAAACAGGGGTCTTCAAACTTGGCAACTTTAAGACTTGTGGACCAACTCCAGGGAAAGTGTGAAACTAGGCTGAAGATGAAGTAGGGTTGTTAGCCAACCTGTCTCCTGCCTATTCAGGAGACAGATAAAGAACTAAGTCCTTAAGAAAACAAAGTAAAAATCAAACAAAAGCCCAGCCTGAATACATAGGGCCCCCTCCCCAAATCCCATCCATGGTTGCCAGTCTTGTGAATCAACAAAGCAACTTGGGAGATAAAAGGGGTCCTGAAGCTTGGCATTTAGATCCCCAAAGGTGTCCCGCATGTATCCGAAATTACAGCCTAAATGTTGGAGATGTGGAAATTTAGATGCAACTTATTTTCATATTTGGTGGACTTGTAAGGATATTAAAGCTTTTTGGATTAAGATTTGGTGGAATATTCAAAAGATTTTTAAGAAAAAGATAAAGTTTACTCCGCAATTATTTTTGTTGGGTATTATTGTAAATTTGGATGTTAAAGAAACTAATTTGATGTTGAACTTCATAACTGCTGCAAGATTATTGGTGGAGCAATATTGGAAGAAAAAACTTATTGCCTACTTTGGAAGAATGGATATTTAAAGTGTCTAATTTAGCAGAAATGGCAAAAATCTCCGCCTATTTGAAGGATCATTCACAAGAAAGATATATTATGGTTTGGAGAAGATGGATTGGTTATATTCAGAAGAAGTATGAAACTGAAAAGTATTATCTTGCTTTTGAATAGATTTTAGATAATTATTAATAGTATTATTATTTTCGTCTTAATTTGTTAATATTTGTTTTGAGAAGGAGTTAAAGGATATTATGGTTTTGATTGATAGTTTAGTTGATTTATGTCAGCTAGAGTATGTTTGTTTATTTGTTACCCTGTAATCAGCTCTGGGAAGTGGGGGAGGGGAGAGGGGATGGGTGGGTTTATATTGTAATTTGTAAAACTTTTAATAAAAAAGGGAGGGTCCTGAAGCCCACCCACTCTTTGAGACTGCTTTGGATTCAGACTTGGCTGTCTCCTGTGCCTGCCAGCCTAGGTGAGAAAGATGTGGGTGGATGAGTGAGTGGGAAAGAGCAATTGGAACAAGTAAAGTTTTGCTGCTTTTTAAAATTCGCTGGGTTATGCCTCAGTGATTATTTGAAATTGAACTGATTGTGGCTGTTACTCAGGGCTGTGATTGTGTGATATAAGCTGAATCTAGAAGCATGTAATAAAAGGGAAGACACATGCCTCCCCCACCCCATCCAACTTTCTTAACTGATTTTCGTGTTCCAATGTTTGGGTCTCAGAACCAACTGCAACCCAGTGGCTTCTAATCTTTATTCTGGAGAGCCCTAAATATCACTTTGAATGTAGCTGATAGTCTCTGACACAGGAACCAACATTAAAAAAAAAAAAAAAGTTTAATTCGAGATCTGATTAATTCACTCAGAATGTTCACAAGAGGGTTGTCTTTTTTTGACTAAAGCAATTAAAAAGGATTATTTAGGCAATCAAGTCCTTCCCTCTTTGATCAGGGCAAAAGTTTAAAACGGCTTCATTATTATCAATCACTCATATAAAAACATAGGAATCAAGGATAGAGGATCATCTTAATTGACCAGGATAATATTTGAGGTCACTTGTTAACTGCAGAAAGTCTGAAATTAGACACCCACCCCCCTGGTAAGATCAGCATTGCAGAGGTCTTAACAATGAAAGCTTCCATCCAGAGATTCTATGGATGTGTAAAATTCAATTTTATTACCCATTACAGCTTTTAGTAGAGCACCTAATCAAGTTATTTGGCAAGAAAACAAAATTCGGAAACAGAATCCTGCCTTGGATCCCTGTGCTGCCCACGAGTTCAGAGGAAGCCAAAAAGTTCACTCACCTCGGTGACCTTGAGAAGCCAAGAACAATAGAAAAGACACTCTCCATAAGGCCAGGTTGGGAATCTGCTCCCCTAGGTGCTTTTGTGTCCTTTTCTAGATCAGAATCCCTCATCTCTGGCCGTTTGTTCTCAAACGTTTCTGCTTTCACATTTCACTTTCACAGTAGGGACCGTTGCAGAAAGTTTGGATTCCACTTTCTCTTTCCTTTTGTTTGGTTTGGGCTTTAAGACTGAAGCGGGAACTCTTTCCCGGGAAATGGTGATAAATGTTGGGGCTTGAATTGCATGCACGCTCAGAGCACCAGCTGTCTGTCTTGCAGGTAAAAGGGAATTGCAGCCCCAAACTGGGATTTCGAAGGCTGAAAGGCTGATTCTTAACTGAATAAACCAGGGTTAGGTGTGACCAAAAGGGCTTGGAAATCCCGTTTTTTATCAAGCTGTAGGATGGGGGGAAAGGAAGGAAAATGCTCCCTAGAAGCCTCTCATAAAAAAGGGGGCAAAGAAATTAGATCAAAGACAGTTTGCCGTGTTTTAAATTGTAGATAAGTGATCTATATTGTGTGGCATTTTTTCATTGCCACAGCCTGCAATAGGAGCATAAGGAACATGTCCAAATGTTAATCTTTCTTTTTTTCTTAAAAAAATTCACAGGATTTAGATGAAGTCACAGTATAACAGAGTTGAAAGGGTCCTTGGAGATCTTCTAGTCCAACCCCCTACTTAAGTAGGAGACCATTCCGGACAAACGGCTATTCTGTCTCTTTTTAAAAAACCTCCAGTGATGGAACACCCACAACTTTCTGTATTACTCTCGGCTTTGAAAGCAGAATTACTCAGGCTCAGCCTGGGCGAAGCGTAGACGTTTATCTTGATTTCTTCGTAGCTCTATGTGGGCACCCATTCTCAGTCGCTTGCCATTATGTTTTTACGACGCGCGGCGTTTAAAACCTCTGTACTTTTCTATCTCTGTGCTCCGAGGGACGTAGGCCGGTTTTTTTTTGTCTCCGCGCGCATGCGCTTTTCGCTGTCGGAGAACGCCCGCTCTGGCAAAGGGCAGCTAGGCCGCGAGGAGCCGGGGGCTCGCGTAGATGTCTTCGCCGGAGGAGGCGCGGGTCGCGCCGGCCCCGGAAGGGGACTTGCCGGTAGAGTGGGAAACGGACGAAGAACGTATGGCGTTTCTATTTTCGGCTTTCAAGCAGAGCCGGGAGGTTAACGCCACCGAGTGGGACAGCAAGATGGGCTTTTGGAGTGAGTTGGTGTTCAAATGGGGAAGACGGAAAGGAGGGATCCGCACCTGCCTGAGGGAGCTCCAGCAGGCTTTCGAGCGCCGGGGGAGCGTCCCCCTCGGCCTGGGCACCGTCCTCCGCGAGCTGCTCAGGTGAGACCGGCGGGGCCGCTCACTTTCGGGGTGGGGGAGCGGGGCGAGAGTGCCTCTGAGCGCGTGCTGATGGCCTCGCGCACTTTCACTCGAACACCTGCTTTTTTTCCAGTTAGGGAAGAAGGGGAGGCCCTATTTAATCTCATATCATTATAAGATATAACCTTTATTTCTTAAAATGTGCTTGAAAGACTCCTGGGGGGGTCTCTCCCCCCCCAAGATCGTTTAGAGGGGTCCCCGAACAAAAAAATGAAGATGTTTGTAAAAATGTAAACCGTTGTCCCTCTTCTATTTTTTTTCATGAAAAATGTTCTATTTGTGTTAATATCTGATAAGTTTAATTTTTTGTACACATTCTGCAAATGCATATCCGTTTTTAGTTCAGTAAATATCAATAAATAGGACCCATACCAATCAAAACTTTTAAAATCAAAATTAAAAATGTAATTTTTAAAAGAATTTCCGAAAGCAAAAAGTTTAAGAAAGAATGGGTTGCAAGCAGGCAGACATACATATAATCTGTTATCGTATATAAATATAACTTGTACGTATGCACAAACACTCAAATCTCTCTTTCTTATAAATATCTTACGTTTATATTTAAATCTACCTTTATTTGCTCAGTGACTTAATTGTGTTACCTGGTGGAATTCCCCCTTTTGTTTGTTCTTGGCAATTTCCACTCTTTAACAACCACTTAACCTGTAGTTTTATATGTGTGGTTAAGAATTTCTTTCATCAAATAACTAAATTCAACTTTGTTTGTTTTTGTTTGTAAGTGTATTTAATGTTTGAAGAATTTGCCAAACTTTTTGCTGGAAAAAGGGTTACAAATTGAGTGGCAACATAATTTCTCTCCCATTGGATTCTTTGTCTCTTTTTCTCTGCTAACTTTGATTATTATTCAATGTTCTGATAAACATCCTGTATAATATGCTGTATTGGGGGCCTAATGCAACAATTTTAAACTAATCCAAACTTTGTTACTGTATTTTATTTAAAGTTGTTATTACACTAATGGTCCACCTTTTAAGACAGTTCATCCAAACACATTATGACATGTTAAATACAACACAACTGGGCTTCTTAAAACCACACAGTAAACATATGTAGAAGACCAGTAGTTTAATCATTTTAAAAGTTTTTAAAATTGTTTAAAGAAAATGGGGATTTTTTAAAAAAAGTTAAGAGAAGGAGGTCAGTGTTTCAAAACAGCTTCAATAGGATTACAAGAGTTCCATATGTTGAAAAAGAAAATTAATCAACTCTGAGTCAGTATTCAGAAACTATAATATCCCCAAATCATGTACGGTGTTTGCTTGGGCCACTGTTTTGCATTGTGGAAGTTGAAAAGGAAAAATAAAAATCCAGGCAAATTATCTTTGATGCTCCACTTTCACATCCAAGACAGTGAAACATTTGCACTACATTAAACCATTTCCCTCTACTTCTTTCAGATTCCCATATATATTAAGGAAAAATAAAAATTCATTGCTGATGTGTTTTCTCAGATAAATGGAAGAAAGCTTTGATTAGAAATATGGATTCCTACAATCTATTTTTTTTTTTCTTACTGCAGCCTTATATGCTCCGTTTCAATCCCTCTCAGGAGACTGTGGGCAACCTCATTCTCTCTAACAGCAGTGGCCTAATCATTTTAAGCCCCAGTGTAGCTTTTCAAATTGCCATGTAGTAAACCATCCTGGTTATCTTTTTGCAGATTGTGTTGAAGTATTTATTTTGGCTTCTCTGAAACTTTTCATTTATTTCTTTAGACGGGGCAAACTGCAAAGAGAGTCGGACTACATGGCTAGCGTCGACAGTAGCTGGATCTCCTGGGGTGTGGGAGTCTTCATTTTGAAACCCCTGAAGTGGACCTTGTCTAGCGTATTGGGTGACAGCAAAATGCCGGAGGAAGAGGAAGCCCTGATTTATGTGGAGATTCTTAAGGTAATGTTGGTGATTCACATTTGTGGGTCAGACATTATGAATAAATTGGGAAGGCAGATTTTTCTTCTTCTTTTCTTGGTGCTTTGGTAAGATTTCTTTGCTATGCCCTATTCCTAAATTCCTTCCTGCCATCTAACACTAAGCTGTTTTTGGAGCCAATCAGTTTAAACAAGGGTTTCCCAATGATTGTTTTTAAAAAATAGTCCTATTGATAAAGTTTTGTGGATATTTATTGTGATTGTCATGCTGTATTTTTGTATTAATGTGTTTTTGCAACTATGGATTCTCTCAATGCCCTATTTTTAGATGTTTGTATATTGTTTGGTATTTATATACTTATATATTTGAACTAGGTTGCAAACAGTTCAGAGAAATGCAATTAAGACAGTCTTAAGTGTACAATAGATCCATTCAAAGTATACATGGCTGATCCACACAGGCAAGCTATGCTACAAACACAGCCTCTCTTGTGGGTTTGTTTTTTTCAATACGTGTCTAAAGATAAAGTGTCTTAAGATTTCATATATTTATTTGGGGTTTCCAGTGGCATGTTACTCTATATCTTATGTAAACAGAGGGAAACGCAACTCATTTCCTGTTGTCAGGTCTGCTGTTGCAAAGTCTAATGAGGTCCTCTCAAGGACTCTTTTTATTCATTAAGTTATACTTGTAGATTGGTGCAAAGTTGAGGTGGACTGTCACAATGCTCTATAATTGAACAAAAGAGTTAACATGCCAGAACCATCCATAGTTTTGCAAAAAAAAAAAAAAACATTTTGTTTTTCGTATTGCAGTGAGAATGTATTTCTTTGCTTTTCACTCTAAGCAGTTGGGTGTGCCCTTCTTGTGTCCTCTAAAGACAATGGGCATTCTGTGTCTATTGAGATGAACATTCCTCATTCCACTGTTCTTATCCCTTCTGTCCCAACTTGTTTTGAAATGTGGGATTCCCTCTTACTTTTGGCATGAGGACTGAAGCTGGCATGATTGAAAACAGGGAGCCTGAGACCAGACAGAACAATTACCAGAACATTGTGCCAGAGCCTTCCACACCTAAGGTTGAGAAATGAGTATCAAAAATTCTTTCACTATATAAGGGCAGCAGAAAAAGATAAGATTTAAAAGATGAATTTAAAAACTAGTCAAGTTTAATTCTTAGATCCTGAATAGTTTATCTTCTTTGCAGTTAAAGCCTCTTCAGTAACACCAACTTCTAGCTTGAGTTTTGTCCTTGACTCCTCAACAGCTGGCTCTTGAATAGGGGTTTAAATTCCTAGAGCAGCGGTTCTCAACTTATGGGTCACGACCCCATTTGGGGTCGATTGACCATTTCACGGGGGTCGCCAAGCAAGGCTGTCCGCCATTTTTTTCCCCTTTTCCGGCGGGCGCCTTACCTCCCTTGGGCTGGGCCAGCTGGTGGCCCAGCTGGTGGTCGGCCTGCTCCGTCTCTGCTGCTTGCCAGCTACGCCTCGGCCAGTGCAGGGGGCGGCACCACACATGCGCGGCACTCCCGGGCAGGGAAAGTCCTCGACTTACGACCGGTTGGGTAGTCCTCGACTTACAACCGGTTTAATCCTCGACTTACGACCGGTTTAGTCCTTGACTTACGACTGGTTGGGGGTTGCGGCATTAAAAAGGTTGAGAACCACTGTCCTAGAGAGATTCATTCCCGTGCCTTGAATTAAACGACGACATTGACAAAGAAAATATTTTTAGTATTTCTTCCCATCAGTACTGTCTTCTATTTTGCTAATTCTATATTGACTAAGCAAAGATGCAAATTTATAGCATGTGTTTGATACTTACATAAGGTATAACAATGTCAAGTTGTTTTTCCGCCGTGGAGGGGCAGTATTTTCAGGAAGACTTTGAAAGAACTTCTCCCCAAACACCTGCTTGTTTGGATATGTGTTGCTGTTTTTGTTGGTCTTGAAGGCATGATTATGTCTTGTGAGTCTGATACATAACATGTGCCCATTACATAAGCACAAGGCTACCTAATAAAGTTATGCAGGGTAGGTATGCCTCAGATCCCCATGGTCATGCAATGCCATCTACTGGAGACATGTCTTCTCTGTCAGGGCAGGCTCTCTGGAATCCCCCAGAGATCCATATGGCTACCACCTTGATGATATACTAAAAGGCACTGAAAGCATTCGTCTATTCCAGGGGTCCCCTGGAATATAGATGACTGTCCAGTCTTCTCTTAAAAATATCCAGTGATGAAGCACCTACAACTTCTGAAGGCAAGCTGCTCCACTGGTTAATTGTCCTCACTGTTAGGACCTTTCTCTTTAACTCCAGGTTGCTTCTCTCCTTGATCAGTTTCCATCCATTGTTTCTTGTCTTGCCTTCTGGGGCTTTGGAAAATAAGTTGACCCCCTCTTCTTTGTGGCAGCCCCTCAGATACTGGAATACTGCTATCATGTCACCCCTTGTTATCTAGTTAAGTTGTCATGTTACCACTTGCCTCCAGAAATTGTAGGTGCTCCAACAATGGAGGTTTTAAAGAAGAGATTGGAGAACCATTTGTCTGAAATGGTATAGGGTTTCCTACCTGAGCAGGGGTTTGGGCTAAAAGATCTCCAAGTCCCTTCCAGCTATGTTATTTTGTTCAGTTTAAGGGTGTATAGATATTGACATAAAGGGATCCTTGGGGAAGGTGAGATTCTGTAAAATGCCACCATTAAGCAGATCTATTTAAAGGAGGGAAATATTTAACTTTCAAACACTGATGTTTTTGACAGACATATGTTTGTTTCAGACATAACTCATTTTCTTATTCATGAAACATTCACCTTATGATCCTCCAGCAAGATTTGTCTCCAAGAAATTACTTACATGAAGTAAAAAGTGTAAGAGCAGCACTTAAAAAACAAGTGGTTCTTTCTTTTTCTTCATCCTAATAATTTTTAAAAGAATAACGATAAATACACAAGCAATTCTTCTTATAGTCCTTTAACTGATCACCTGGAATAACAATAATTTAAGAATAGGAGCCAAGTCAAGATTGTGCTACCTTGAAGATTTTATAGTACATTCCTCTGCTGTGATCCAATATAATATAGTACATAAACAGATAAAACTTTATAGATATGAATGGCAGAATATTTGCTGTAAAAAAATTATTTCCTTTGAGTCAGGTTTGACTGATGTGGAGCTTAACTTCTGCATTAAATTGACTCTCAAAAAGAATTATATCTCAGTTATTTTATATAATGTTTTTTTTTCCTCTTGTGGCATGGATCATGTTCTATTTTTTCACCTTGTTAAGTGCAAGTTAGCTATTGGGAACATATAACTTAAGAACTGTTGTACAATAATCATTGTTTAGTCTTCTCTGCAGATATTCAATATCTGCAGTCAAGCTCTTCTCCAAAGCGCCTGAGGGCAGGACAAGAAGCAAGGGATGGAAACTAATCAAGGAGAGAAGCAACCTAGAACTAAGGAGAAACTTCCTGACAGTGAGAACAATTAATCAGTGGAACAGCCTGCCTCCAGAAGCAGTAAATGCTCCAACACTGGAAGTTTTTAAGAAGAAACTGGACAGCCATTTGTCCGAAATGGTGTAGGGTATCCTGCCTGAGCAGGGGTTGGACTCGATGACCTCCAAGGTCCCTTCCAACTTTATTATTATTATTATTATTATTATTATTATTATTATTATTATTATTATTATTATTATTATATTAATTATATTAATAATAATATACAAGCCACATAGAGCAAGTCTGATGATCTGTATGGTATTATGCCTTCCATTGTAAGTGATAGTTGTAAGATGCTATCACCTGTAATGATGTCTTGTCTATTTTCTTTCTTTCTTCTTAGCCACAGTTGATACTAGGTATTTGTTTGTCTTTGCGTTTTTTAGGAGAAGGCAGAAGAAGTCTATAATCTCTACCAGAATTCCACACTTTCATCCCATCCTGTTGTTGGTCTGTCTGAGCTGCGCTCCCTATGCACCATCACCTGTCCAGATGAACGAACATTTTGTCTGGTGCTGCTCCAATTGCAGAAGGAGAAAAGAGTCACTGTCCTGGAACAGAATGGTAATAAGGTACGGCATGCAACAGGCTGCTCCAGGCAGTGTCCTATCTCTATAAAAAAACCACTTCTAATAAATTGAATAAATACATACCACATTTGCAAAGAAAACTGCAGGGATTAGTCTGGATAGTCATCGGGAGCCGAGGCTAACTCAACACACCCACCCACCTGTACAAATCCATAGAGGGAAGCAAAATAATATTGAAATCTTGGGTAAAACTAACCGTGTGAGCAATTCATTTCTAAAAGATAAATTAGGAACAATAAAGGTAAAGGTTTCCCTTGTCCAGTTGTGTCCAACTTTAGGGGGCAGTGCTCATCTCTGACTCTTAGCTGAGGGCACCATGGGCACTTCTGTGGTCATATGGCTGGCATGACTATGTGCTGAGGCCTATGAAATGCTGTTATTTTCCCACCAAAGTGGTACCTATTTATCTACTTGCATTTGCATGCTTTCAAACTGCTAGGTTGCCAGGAGCTGGGGCAAGTAACGGGAGCTCACCCTGTTGCACAGTACCCAAATCTCGAACCTGGCCTATCAGCTTTCCAGCTGAGAAGCTCTGCCTCTTTAACCACTGAGCCATCGCATCCCCTTAGGAACAATAATACATCCTACTAGCATTATTAAAAGACTAATTCTTGATGACACCACAAGTCTCATAGTTTAATATCAAATAACAACATTGTCTTTCAGATAATGAAATTCGCCCGAGGGCTTCACGCAAAAGTCTCCCCAATGAATGATGTTGACATTGGGGTTTATCAGTTGATGCAGAGTGAACAGCTGTTGTCACAGAAAGTGGAATCTCTGGCACAGGAAGCAGAGAGGTAATGGGGGGGGGTGTCGTTCATCTTTGTAAAAACAGGAAAAAAAAACCTGATCCTGAAAGAGGGCAAAATTACGGTAGTTTGCAGGGCTTATTAAAGCAGTTTAATTGATAAATAATACACACACTCACGCCAAGAAAATAAGAATTGTATTTGTAATTGTCTTAGCTGTAGTGTAGCGGCTCCCAAACGTTTGGGTGCCAGGGACCTGTTCCGCGGAGAGATTTTTTCCGCAGACCGGAGGGGGTGTAGTTTCGTGTGCCGCCTGCATCCTGCAGATGGGGCTTTGCTTGTTTGCATGGATCGGTTTCTGGCATGCTGTGGCCTGGTTTCGGTCTACGGACCAGGGTGGGGGACCCCTCCTATAGTGAGCTGGGTGAAAGGTACAGAGAGAACAATGGGATTGTAGCTATTCCTGATCCAAAATATGGACAAGCATCTCTCTTGCTTTTTCAGATGTAAAGAGGAGGCTCGGAGGGCCTGTAAAGCTGGGAAAAAGCAACTGGTAGGTACTGGTAGAAGTCAGGTACATGGTGTGTCCCAATTGGTATGTTCATTTCCAAACTGCCCTGTTGCAGATTTCAAAAAATTGTGGTCATGACTCTTTAGAATCTGTTAAGACAAGGGGTGAGTTCAGATGTTATTATACAGATGAACACAGATCTTTTGTCAGGCTTACCTGGTAGACCCGATGGAAATACGGTTACATAAACTAACTCTACTTTACTGCAAAGCTACATTAAAGAATCAGGCAAATGTGAAGTTGCATTTCTCTCACTGTCACGTTTACAGCCCCATAACTTAGGGAAGGTCCCTCCTGACCCTCTTGTCCTGCCTGCTGTGAAGCTGTGGACTAAGCTGTCTCTTCTCTGACTAACCCGGCACCACTTTGCCCAGTCTCAATTTCCTGTTTTTTTCCCCTAGCTTTTGAATAAAGTCTGCTTTTTTTGTTCTTAGGCTCTGAGATCTTTGAAGTCCAGAAAAAGAGTGGAAAGGCGCATTTCAGAGCTTCATTCCAAGCTGGACGTGGTACAAGGCATCCTAGATCGCATCTATGCCTCTCAGACAGATCAAATGGTATTTGTTTGTTGCCTGGCATTTATTTTTGGGCGTTGTATACTTGCGTATTTTTTTCTTTTGGGAGCAGGGTTAACTGTTCCACTGAGGATCTCACTTTGACTGTCCCAAACAAGGAATAACTCTCTTCTCTTCCTCTCCTTTTACAATATATGTATTAGATTTTGCACCTCAGCAGGCTAATGAATTCACATTTGCTTGTTGTATGGCACAGTGCTGTGCTGTGAGTTATACTGTTTAATCTTTAGCTTAACCCACCTTGGAATTGCTGTAAAGGAAGTTCTAAAACCTGCAGTCGTCTGGTCAAGATGCTATAGAAAAATAAGTTTGTTTTCTCTCTTGCCCAAAAGGTATTTAATGCTTATCAGGCTGGACTAGGAGCTCTGAAGCTGTCTATGAAAGATGTGACTGTGGAAAAGGCAGAGAGCCTAGTGGATCAGATTCAAGAGGTATGTAAGAAGCAGGTACCGCTCACACACAGGAGACATACATGGGTAGACTAAAAACATCATATAGTAACATAGAAAACTGACAGCAGAAAAAGTCCTAGCGGTCCATCAAGTCTGTCCTTTGCAGGTTTTTTATTTATATATATATTTAATTATTCTTTGTCGTAGGATGGACATTTGTTTATCTCAAGTATGTTTAAACTCAGCTGCTGATGACTGATCCACTATCTCTGCTGGAAGTTGGTTCCCAGCTTCCACTGCTCTTCAAATCAACCTTTATTGTCAAAGTACAACATGTGTACAATGAGATTGGCTGAGCCTCCCTTCGCACGCACCACCCCAACACAACCCCCCTAACACAACACAGTGACAACAAACACACAATCGTATTGCACCATGTGAACTAATTTCGGTGAAGAAACACTTTCTAGCATGACTTATGAACTTCCCTTCTGTCAGTTTGAGGTTATGCCTCTGTGTTCTTGATGTTTGCTTAGTATTGAAAATGCTGCCTTCTAGAACTTTATCCGCACTCTTTATGTTTAAAGATTTCATCATGTTCCCCTTTCCCTTCTGTCCTCCAGACTGTACATTAACTGCATATCTGTAATTAAAATTTCCGCTTCTCCCACAGCTGTGCGATACCCAGGATGAAGTGGCTCAGACGTTAGCAGGCGTGGCAATCAATGGCTCGGGTGAGTCAAAGCTTGCTTCTTGCACTCTTCTGATTCCTCTTTCTCCTCAACAGCCACACATGGGAAATATTGTTTTCCTAATGTTACAATTGCTCTCCATGGTGTTTTTCAAACTTAGCAACTTTTTAGTCTTAAAGTTGCACATTTGCAAAACCTTGCTCCACAGCAGGGGTAGTCAACCTTGGCTCTTTTATGACTCGTGGACTTCAACTCCCAGAATTCCTGAGCCAGCTAAGCTAAGCTGGCTCAGGAATTCTGGGAATTGAAGTCCACGAGTCATAAAAGAGCCAAGGTTGACTACCCCTGCTCTACAGCATTTAAAACAGATTTGTTCAAGACAGCAATTGAGTCTCCCAGTAACAGATATTTTTTATAGCTTCCACTGTAGGTGAGGGGTCTGCAACCTTGACAACTTTAAGACTTGTGGACTTCAGCTCCCAGAATTCCTCAGCCAGCATAAGTCCACTAGTCTTAAAGTTGTCAAGGTTGCAGACTCCTGCGGTAGGTTATAAGCATATGTCCTGTTTTCCAGTTGTAATGCATAAGAACTATCGAACATTGACTAAAAATGCCTGGTCAGTTACATATTTCTCTCTTATCTAATAATTATGTCCTTTACTCTCAGGATGACGTATTATTCTCCTGCTCTCTGGAGATTCCTTTTCAATAGTATTTGTAAATGTCCACATGTGGTGTGGATTAAATTAAAATAATGGGTGAAATTATTAACCTTGTTCTCAGAATAGGCATTAAGTGGCAGTTAATTATTTGATATGTAATTTCTTTTGTCAAATGGATCTACCCCGTTATTTGAGAATGTATAAGCCTGTTTTACCTTTTGTGTGCCTGCAATGTTAATATCTATCTCCTTCCCCAGATGAGTTAAAAGTAGATGGATTTATGGTTGTGAAGTATTTATCTAGGATATTTATTCTGACTTTCAGGTTGTCTGTAACCTTTAGCCTGATTTCTAAAAGCTTCTGTAAACAACCAGTTCAGACTTCTAATCAGAATAAACTTCCCTTTTCCTGAAAAGTCTGTTGGATAGGAAAGTCTGTGGGTAGAGTAAGTAGGAGCAAACCAATCCATAGCTGGCAGAGTCCCACTTAACTGCTTCCACGCAGAATCCAGCAGTTTATCCGTAAGGGAATACCATTTTTATTAGAAAAATATTGTTCAGCTTAAATAATGTTATATTTGCTTCAGTGATTGTGATTTCTTTATTTCCTGTGTTTGTTCATGACCTAATTGCTTCTGCACATGCATTAACTGTCTTTAAGAATAATAGTTGAAAAATGCTTCTATTGAATATGAATTATGTACCTCAGGATTTTATTTATTTATTTATTTGCCTTGGATGAGTTTAGATTATGTGGTCAGATACAGGCTTGATCATCTTTGCATGAGAAAACCACGTAAGACAATTTTGAGTAAGACTTTGTACTAGATCTGAATGTATATTTCTGATTAGATTAGTGTTTCTTAGATTTCCCCCCCCCACCACCAACTAGATGGAAGCTTAAAAATAACAACCACCAAGGTTTGCATTAACAAAAGTTGTACACCTGTAAAAGAATGAACACTTGTTTCAAGCTCTTACTGTCCTATAGAACTTAAAATTCACTTTTATACTCCGAAGCTCAGCTTCCTTATTGAGTTTACCTCTTTTTATATTTTTTTTCACTCCTATGTACAGTTGCTTGGGAGTAAGTTCCATCAAACTTTGTCATGTTGTACTGTGAATAAATGCATATCAGACTGAGATCAATTTATTTGTTATTTTACCTTAGAAGCTGATACAGAGGAACTTGAAAAAGAATTGGACAGTCTTCTCACAGACTCCTCAAAATATCTGTTGGACTTGCCTTTGGTGCCATCAAAGCCACTCTCTCCAACTCCAGTAGTCCTTCCCAGCTTCACAGATGCTGAGCTTGAAGCAGAGCTGGAGAAGCTCACTTGCTCAGATGGAGGTAAGCTGCATTTTTTTTTTTATTGAAAGTTTATAAAATTTTACAATAAATTACACCTCCCCTCCCAACCCCCCAACCCCTCCCCCCTACTTCCCAGAGCTGAATACGGGGTTAAAAACAACAAAAAACATAGAATTTAAATAAACATCAAACAATTATACATACATCCAAAAAACAAAATTTTAAACACTTTTAACTCCAGTACATAAAAACAAAAATTACCATCCTTAAACATAAGTTATTCAAAAGCTTACCCTTAAATATACATTATTCAAAAGCTAAATAGTACTTTCTAATATCATATTTATTCTGTATAAAATTCACCCATCTTTTCCACACCAAAATATATCTCTCTTGCGACTGGTCTTTCAGATAAGCCGAATTTTTTGTCATTTCAGATAAATAAGAAACTTTAAGAAACCATTCTTCTAAAGTAGGCAAAAAATCCTTCTTCCAATATTGCCCAATCAGCAACCTTGCTGCTGTAATTAAATTCAACATTAAAATAATCTCTTTACCATCACAATCGTCAATAATACCTAACAGAAACAATTGTGGTGTAAATTTTATCCTTCTGTTAAAAATCTTCTGAATATTCCACCAAATCTTGATCCAAAAAGCCTTTATATTTCTACATGACCACCAAATATGATAATACGTTGCATCCAAACAACCACATCTCCAACATTTGGGCTGCACATTTGGATACATACGAGACATCTTTTGTGGATCAAGATGCCATCTATAGAACATTTTATAAAAATTTTCTCGTAAATTTTGAGCTTGAGTAAATTTAACATTCCTCACCCAAATCATCTCCCATGTGTCTAATAAAATCGGCTCATCAAAATTTTGAGCCCATTTAACCATACAATCTTTAACTAATTCTGTTTCTGAATCCAATTCCACTAATACACTATAAACTCTTTTTATATGAAATCGACTTTGATCTTTAATTTATTTCATCAAATTCACATCCTCCCTAATAAAACCCACTTTTTGATCTATTCTCCACCTTTCTAATAATTGCCTGTACTGAAACCAAGAATAATTAATATTTTCTTGCGTTAATTCATCCATAGATTTTAATTGCCAATTATTCCCATCCCAATTAAGCAATTGTTTATAAGAAATGCTCTCCATTTTCACTCCTTTCCTTATCCCTTCTATTGCATGCCCTGGAATTCCCCACAACGGTATTCTAAAATCTGATCTATAATATTTCTTCCAAACTCGCAATAAAGTCAGTGCCCTCCTAACCATATCCAAGCACTCTGAATATGTTAGCGATGTCCATTTTTCTCTATGAGTTCATGGTGACCTAACCCTAACCCTAAGTGGACTTTTCCTCCAATGGGATTTTCCCATGTATTTTACCAGGAAACATAGATAGGGCAGGCTAGAAAAGTCAGTGCCCTCCTAACCATACCCAAGCACTCCAGTGTTGGCGGTGTCCATTTGCTCTATGAGTTCATGGTGACCTAACCCTAACCCTAAGTGGAATTTTCCTCCAGGGGGATTTTCCCATGGAAACATAGATAGGGCATCCTAGAAAAGTCAGTGCCCTCCTAACCATACCCAAGCACTCCGAGTTTGTTGGCGATGTCCATTTTGCTCTAGGAGTTCATGGTGACCTAACCCTAACCCTAAGTGGAATTTTCCTCCAATGGGATTTTCCCATGTATTTTACCAGGAAACATAGATAGGGCAGCCTAGAAAAGTCAGTGCCCTCCTAACCATACCCAAGCACTCCGGGTTTGTTGGCGATGTCCATTTTGCTCTAGGGTTCATGGTGACCTAACCCTAACCCTAAGTGGAATTTTCCTCCAATGGGATTTTCCCATGTATTTTACCAGGAAACATAGATAGGCAGCCTAGAAAAGTCAGTGCCCTCCTAACATACCCAAGCACTCCGAGTTTGTTGGGCGATGCCCATTTTGCTCTATCAGTTCATGGTGACCAACCCTAACCCTAAAGTGAATTTTACTCCAATGGGATTTTCCCATGTATTTTACCAGGAAACATAGATAGGGCAGCCTAGAAAAGTCAGTGCCCTCCTAACCATACCAAGCACTCCGAGTTTGTTGGCGATGTCCATTTTGCTCTATGCGTTCATGGTGACCTAACCCTAACCCTAAGTGGAATTTTCCTCCAATGGGATTTTCCCATGTATTTTGCAGGAAACATAGATAGGGCATACTAGAAAAGTATTTGCTCTCCTAACGATATCTAAACATTCTGAGTTTGTTGGCGATGTACATTTTGCTCTAAGAGTTCATGGTGACCTAACCCTAACCCTAAGTGGAATTTTCCTACCAAGGGGGATTTTCCAGGAAACATAGATACGGCAGCCTAGAAAGGTCACTGCCTTCCTAACTATACCCAAGCACTCCGAATTTGTTGGCGATGTCCATTTGCTCTATGAGTTCATGCTGACCTAACCCTAACCCTAAGTGGAATTTTCCTAAAATGGGATTTTACCATGTATTCTACCAGGAAACATAGATACGGCAGCCTAGAAAGGTCACTGCCTTCCTAACTATACCCAAGCACTCCGAATTTGTTGGCGATGTCCATTTGCTCTATGGAGTTCATGGTGAACCTAACCCTAACCATAAGTGGAATTTTCCTCCAATGGGATTTTCCCATGTATTTACCAGAAACATAGGGGTTAGATAGGGCAGCCTAGAAAAGTCAGTGCCCTCCTAACCATACCCAAGCATCCGAGTTTGTTGCGACGCCCATTTTGCTCTATGAGTTCATGTGACCTAACCCTAACCCTAAGTGGAATTTTCCTCCAATGGGATTTTCCCATGTATTTTACCAGGAAACATAGATAGGGCAGCCTAGAAAAAGTCAGTGCCCCTCCTAACCATACCCAAGCACTCCGAGTTGTTGGCGATGTCCATTTGCTCTATGAGTTCACGGTGACCTAACCCTAACCCTAAGTGGAATTTTCCTCCAATGGGATTTTCCCATGTATTTTACCAGGAAACATAGATAGGGCAGCCTAGAAAAGTCAGTGCCCTCCTAACCATACCCAAGCACTCCGAGTTTGTTGGCGATGTCCATTTTGCTCTAGGAGTTCATGGTGACGTAACCCTAACCCTAAGTGGAATTTTCCTCCAATGGGATTTTCCCATGTATTTTACCAGGAAACATAGATAGGGCAGCCTAGAAAAGTCAGTGCCCTCCTAACCATACCCAAGCACTCCGAGTTTGTTGGCGATGTCCATTTTGCTCTATGAGTTCATGGTGACCTAACCCTAACCCTAAGTGGAATTTTCCTCCAATGGGATTTTCCCATGTATTTTACCAGGAAACATAGATAGGGCAGCGTAGAAATGTCAGTACCTTCCTAACCATATGCAAGCACTCCAACTTTGTTGGCGATGTCCATTTTGCTCTATGACTTCATGGTGACCTAACCCTAACCCTAAGTAGAATTTTCCTCCAATGGGATTTTCCCATGTATTTTACCAGGAAACATAGATAGGGCAGCCTAGAAAAATAACTGCCCTCCTAACCATACCCAAGCACTCCGAGTTTGTTGGCGATGTCCATTTTGCTCTATGACTTCATGGTGACCTAACCCTAATCCTAAGTGGAATTTTCCTCCAATGGGATTTTCCCATGTATTTTACCAGGAAACATAGATAGGGCAGCCTAGAAAAATAACTGCCCTCCTAACCATACCCAAGCACTCCGAGTTTGTTGGCGATGTCCATTTTGCTCTATGACTTCATGGTGACCTAACCCTAATCCTAAGTGGAATTTTCCTCCAATGGGATTTTCCCATGTATTTTACCAGGAAACATAGATAGGACAGCCTAGAAAGGGCAGTGCGCTCCTGACCATACCCAAGCACTTGGCTCAACTTATAATTGACATTTAGAAGAATGGCAGAAGGGTATCAATAAATTCATTTGGGCAGGGAAAAAACCAAGAGTAAAGCTTAAAATTATACAAGATGTTCGAGAGAGAGGTGGACTCAAGGTGCCGAATCTGAAATTGTATTATGATGCGGTGGTTTTAACATTGATTAGTGATTGGATTAATTTAACAAACTTAAATATACTTTTTTTTGGAGGGATGGGATTTATTATATGGATGGCATGCCTATTTAATTTATAATAAAAAGGTGGATAGGGTCTTTAAGTCCCATATTTTGAGAATTTCTTTATTGCGAGTGAGGTAAGCTGCATCTTGTACATTTCCCTTGTCTACCGTTGCCTGCTGGTAGTCCTCAACTTACAACCGCAGCCGAGGCCAGAATTTCCATCCCTAAGGGAGGCAGTTGTTACGTGACTTATGCCCAGTTTTACCAGCTTTTTTTGTTGTTGTTGTTGTTAAGCAAATCACCGTGGTTGTTAAGTGAATCACACAGTTGTTAAGCGAATTGACTTTGCTTGTGGGAAGCTGTCTAGGAAAATTGCCAGTGGCAATCACGTGACCACCGCAGCCATTGTAAGAACATGCAAGTCGCCTGAATTTTGATCATGTAACTTGGGGGTGCAGCTATGGTTATAAGTGTGAGGACCAGTAGTAACTCACTGTTTTTTCATTGCCATCGTAACTTTGAACAGTTGCTAAACAAATGGTTGTAAGTCGAGGACTACCTGTACTTCTGTAAGCAAACTTCAGTCTTCAGCAGCTTCCTATAATATTAGTCAATTTGTTAAAAGCTTTTTCTCACAGATCTTAAGGTTTTTGGGCTAATGATACCATTATTTGGGTAGATCAGTGTTTCTCAACCTTAGCAACTTTAAGATGTCTGGACTTTGATTCCCAGAATTCCCTAACCAGCATGTCCACATGCCTTAATGTTGCTAAGGCTAAGAAACAACTGGGTTGATGTCTGCTGGGGCAAAAATCTTTTTAACAAGTTTTCTATTGCTATTGAGGATTAAATGCACTTGAACCTAAGCTGGTTTGGTATCCTCTGAGTTTAGCTGTTCTTACCAATTCTTCTAGTTTCTTTGCCACAAGCCATTGCTCTCCGAGCATAAATAGTGTGATCACTGCAAAAGGCTTCTTAAATTTTAACACTTCACAGAGATGTGAAAATAAATAATAGCATACCACAGGATTTTATTGTTTGTTAGATGATGGTGCAAGGAAGTTTTATCCATAGACTTTTATGGAAAATGTACATACAGAAGAAGCCTCTGAATAGGTCTGCCATTTGCCCTTAAAAGATTCCTTTAACAAATGCAGCGATCTTGCAAATGACTGATGTTTATTTTTACAGAGCAATGTAGATATATATGTGTGCATCATGCTTTACAGAATGGCAGTAAAAATAATTTGTAATCCAATTTTTAATAGATGCTGGAGGCTCTAGTAGTAAAGAAATGTATCAGCTGATATGTATTGTTTCTGTTCAGTTTGCAAGCGTGCTTGACCACATTTCTCTTCTTCCTTTTTTCTTTTTTGGGTGTGTACGTGTGCGTTCAATTACAGAATTGGCACAAGAGACTGATCGGAAGGCCTCTGACCGCCAAAGAGCTCTGGAGCTGCCTCTTTAATGACTCAACGTCCCCTTTTGTGCTGTGAAGCTGTCTTAACTTTGCTGATCATAATTCCGAAAGTAACTTGTTGGAACATGGCTTAAAAGCTCGTTAGACTGCACTTTTCAAACAGGCAGGAAAATTCTGCCACGACAATCCAAATCCTTTCCACAGAAAATTACTCTGTTGTCATTTTTTTTCCAGTGGTGCCAAATTACAGTGTCTCTTTGGTTGATTTGCTCACCCATATGGCCACTCACGGCTGCGCTTTTTCTGGCAAGTTGACGTCTTGCTGATCCTGACATTGTTCGACATCCTGAGGGCTGCTTGGCCAAATCATGGAACTCCACCTTGTGACCACTTGAAAGGCAATAAAGTCACACGCTGTCTGGCATCCTGCTGTTTTGTGCAGTTGTGCAAAACATTAACTGGATGCACTAGATAAGATGCTGACTTTGATAGCAGTGAGCGGTGTTTGGCCGCAAGTAGACATATATATTAATGATTTTTCTATATTTCTTCTTTGTATTTGCACGGTTGTGGAGAACTTAGGTCAAGGTTTTATAGGGGTGTTTTTTTTTTGTTACACAAGTAGGAGGCATCTGTGGACACAAAATTCACCTTATACATGTCTTTTACGTCAAGACTGACATTGCCTTAAAGAATTTGCAAAGCTTTTCAACACGAGGCTGTTATTTTTGTTGTTGCTTCTTGAAGATGATGCTTTGATGTTTAAAACATTTCCAGGTTATCTGCAAGGAAAGCCATTCTGCACATTGCCTTCTTGTTAGGAAGAATTCTCTTTGCTGCAAGTAGGAGATTTAAGCTATTCTCTTAAATCAGAAACACACAGAGGGTTAGGGTTAGCAGCATAAGAGATTCTTCAGTCATGTGTGCTGGAATAAGGTTTAAACAATGGCAGTAATTTGGCTCACTGTCTCAGCATCATTAATAGTAATGGTAGAGAATCCTCTATCACCATTTCCTGACATCTCAAGACACTAATTTAAAATGATGGAAGAACTACTGAATCAAATCACATTTACACCTGCCAGAGATGGCTTGCAATTGTCTTCTGTCTTTTTCAGAAGACTTCCTGAGAAACTCCCTCTGTATACATCAGGGCAGCTGTTTATTTTTTGTTGTTTAATGACAACATAGAAACTGGCTGCAGAAACTGAAGGAAAACTGGTTATTGACTTGTATATCAGCACCTGCTGGAATAATTGGGAGGGGGGGAGAGATGAACAAATTGGGAGGGAGGGCAAGAGATGAACAAATTTTTGCTGTTCATAAGCTCTTTTGAGAACGACTTTATGCTTTTGTTCTATGAAACTAGCTTTCATTTAGACTGTGGTGATAGGAGACATTTTGTCAAGGAAGACATCTGCTAAAATTGGAAAAAGGGAAATGGTTAATTCCGTGTCAGGGCATGCCCTGTAAGTTCTCTACAACACATGGGGTTTTTTTTTCCCCCAAACCAGTGAATCATATGCCACTTGTTTAAACAAAATTCAAGAATTGTGCTTAAGTTACTGTTAAGGGCATTGTGGTTTAGAAAGGAGAGGAAGAGGAAATGTTCCTCCCACTTCTTTATTTTTTTTTTCTAAACAGTGAAATAATAAAAGAGTGAAAAGATTTGTGGAGTTTAGTGCTCTTATCATTCCAGATAACAATATTCAACTGACTCATTATTTCTCCTTCATCTTTTGTTTTTCTGAGTGAGAATTCCTGCTGGACCTGAAGCAAAGCCTTAAAGAAGGCCTATTTAACAATCTGTATACAGGAACTGTGTTCACTTCCAAAGGTTCACTCGCTTTTTAAAGGCATCTCAGTCTTGGTGGCTCTGATTAGAATTCCTTCTTATATTTGGTCTTGTTTGAGCATAGCATTGGCAAGCTATTTGATCTCCCCACTGCACCTCCACACCAGAGGGCTCTCATTCCACTGAGTTGAGCACAGCAGCATAATAGGCTTCACTGCTCATTCGCCATTCATCAAGCAAAATCAGTTTATTTATTTATTTATGAGACTTATATACCGCTTTAAGTGCAAGCACTCTCTAAGCGGTGTACACCAGTAAGCAATGTGTGTATATATATATATATATATATATATATATATATATATATATATATTTACATTGCCCCCAACAATCTGGGTCCTCATTTTACCTACCTCAGAAGGATGGAAGGCTGAGTCAACCTTGAGCCGGTGAGATTTGAACCGCTGACCTGCTGAACACAGTCAGCTAAAGTGGCCTGCAGTACTGCACTCTTAACTGCTGCGCCACCTCGGCTCTTATTTGGTTATTGATTTTGATTCTTTGCTTTCTGCGCTTGTTTCTATACTTCCTCTGAGATTAACTATGCGCACATTCCTCACATATGATGCCACATGTAGGAATCTGATTATATCCCCGTTCTCATCCCAGTGCAAATTAAACAGTTGCTGTTTTTTGGAAAAGTAGTATCAGTGCTGGATTATCTGTTCTTTGATGTTGGCAAAATAGTTAACGCTGCACCCTATTCACATTTTATATTTCAAAAAATAAATGTTGATGACCCTGGTAGGGCAAATTTGCGAGATTCCCACGTTTGGAGTCTGATTTTTGCGGGTCGCGGGAAGAGGAAGTGCAGACAATTCATTCCTTTGGGTATGTATATGCTGACATACTTTTAAACTTTACAGATCTAGGAGCCAATAGTTTAAAAAAACAGCTTTACGAGGAAGCTGAATTTGTGCTTTCTACCTATTAGCTACTTATACATGTAATCCTCAGTTCATGACCGAAATAGAGCCCAAAATTTCTGTTGCTAAGTGAAACATTTGTTAAATGAGTTGTGCCCCATTTTGCTTAAGTGAAGTTGTTAAGTGAATCACTGCAGTTAAATTAGCAACATGGTTGTTAAGAGAATCTGGCTTCCCCATTGAGGTCGCACAAGGGAATCATATGCCCCTGGGACACTGCAACCGTCATAAATACAAGTCAGTTGCCAAGCATCTTAATTTCGATCACGTGACCATGGGGATTGCCACAATGGTGGTTAAGTATGAACAATGGTCATAAGTCACTTTTTTAAAGGGCCATCGTAACTTCGAATGGTCACTAAACGAACTGTTGTAAGTTGAGGACTACCTATACTGCTGACTCCAAGGGATTTATTTACACTCAGAGTTAACGTGTAATAAATAGCTCTGTTTTTCTTGTGTATATAAAATCTACAAAGGGACAAAAGGTTATTTTCTCTCTCTAGCTTCAAACTCTAGGTTTTGGGAAACAGTAATGTTCAATGCAACTTGCAAAAGAGGATCCCCCCCCCCGCTTCTCTTAATCAGCTGTATAAGAGACAAGGAGGTCTTATTATGGCAGTCTCTATTGTGTTTGGATCTACAATATTTGCTGCTACGTCAGAAAGGCTGGAAGAGGCATCCAGTAGTTAACGCTGAACAATTTGTTCCTTGCTGAAGTGGTCTGTAATTTTCATACCTAAATGCGAATGTAATCAAGATGAATGAAGGAAAAGAAATTATCAAGTTCTAGTTACTAAAAGAGGGCAATTTATCTAGAATTTCAGGGGTTCTCAACCTTGGCAACTTTTAAGATTTGCCCAGGTTGAGAACCCCTGAAATTCTTTGCTGGCTGAGGAATTCTGGGAGTTGAAGTCCACAAGTCTTAAAGTTGCCAAGGTTGAGAACCCCTGAAGAATGTATTTTTTTTTTTTTTTAGAAGGGAGAGCAGAAGAGATTAAAGTTTAAATGTGCTAGTGATGGTTGAATACCAGAGGAAAAATAAGGGTGTTTATGTCACACTGAGTAAATATATCGCCACCAGCACCCAAATGTTTAATGCTTTGTCCTCCTTCCCCTGAATTTGTACCAAAATGGTTCTAACAATTGAGGAGGGTGGACTAGAAGACCTCCAAGTTCCCTTCTAACCTTATAATTCTATGATTTGATCTCAGGGATAAGAATAAACCCTTGGAAATAATTCAGTGTTTCTCAACTTTGGCAGTTTGAAGATGTGCAGATTTCAACCCCCAGAATTCCCAGCCAGCATAGAATTCTGGGAGTTGAAATCCTCACACCTTCAAAATGCTGAGGCTGAGAACACTGATTAATAACTGATTCCAAGGTGAAACACTCAACTGCAGCCACAGCATAGCTTGTATATATTCACCTTTTTTCAGACTTCCTCACTTCCACTTTGGGCTAAGTACTCAAAAGAGGGATGATGTACTATGAAAAGCTGAACAGGAATTAGGATTTGCTTTATAGTTTTCCCATTCTCGATTCCTTTATATTTGTGTTTCAAGTCTTTCAGAAGAATAAAAAAAAAAAATGCCCGGGAACTAAACTATCGTGCTCCAACCGTGTTATGTTTGATTTACTCAGTATCCTTTTTCATCCATCCCGTAGTACAGTCTTCATCCCTGTTTTGCTCAGGAGGAAAAGCGACAAAGTTAAAATGTCTGGGGAGGTTTGACATTTGTGCAGTCTCGGGCTACAAAGAGCACTGAAAGTAACCAATGCCTTAAAAATGCATCATTCATCGCCAAAGGGCAATTTGGCAGAACGTAGATCAGCCAAGCAACCATGGAGAAAGGGGTATCCCAGTGGAAAAAAATGTTTTGAAAAGCTCACTTTTCCACCTGCTGTTTCATGCAATTAAAACCCCAGTTAGAGGAGGGCGGGCAACGCTGTAGCCTTGCAGGACTGCAACTGAAATTACTAGCAAACACGGGCCATTAACTTGAAAAGGTACATGTACTTGAATTGAGGTAGATGGGCTTGTTTTAGTCATGCTGGCAGACTTAATGGCACAGTACCAAAGCGTCATTTTGTAGACAGCTAAGTTCCCTGTTGCCAGTACCAGTGAAACTCAAAAGTGCATTGTCCATCAGGTAGGAAATGCACGGATTCTGTGGGGCAACTGCCCGAATAGGGTTATTTTTTAAACAGTGTTGTTCCCGTTTTATCACTGCCGATGTATATGAAATTGCACCCATTTTAAATTGTCACTCTGGTCCTAAAGATTGGTCTGCCTGGAAGGAATAGATGGAGAATGGTTTTAGCAAAAATACCAGCTTTGGCATGAACTGGAGGAAGTACTTAGTGTCAAATCTCTTATATGTTTCTTTCTTCATAGTAAAGTGGTGAGAGCACATTTGCAATACTGCATCTAGTCCTGGTCACCCAGATAGAAAAATAAGATGTTGAGACCTTAGAAAGAGTGCAGAGAAGAGCAACGAAGATGATAGAGGGGTCTGGAGACTAAAACATATGAAGAACAGCTAAGGGAACTAGGTATATTCAGTCTAAGGAAGAGAAGGATTAAGGGTGACATGATAGCAGTCTTGCCTTATAAAAAGTGGGTGCTTTGATTAAATGTTAAAATAAAGCTACTTGAGAGTAAAACAGACTGGATTAAAAGGCAGGGAAGATTTTTTTTAGCATAGAATAAATAGAGAAATTTGATCCCTGATTTCATCCATTGGCTGGCTGTTGGAGTAGATACATTTTCCCAATTAAAGGAAAAATATACATTTCCGTTACTGTAAAATCAAAGAACTCCTTCAACTCAAATGACTGTTTTGAAAGGAGTATTTGAAAATGAGCTGGCGGCTCAGGGAGATGATTGATTTTGGCATATTCCCTCCCCCCCCCCAACATAACAAAAACAATAGTTTAGGTCAAAGCCCTTTCTTACTCCTGCAGTTTCTAACTCCCACATTCAGTAGCTTTCTGCTCTGCTTCAAAGAGAAGATATTTTTTGAACGAATTTGCTGCCTTCGTGTGAAATCAAAGGTTCTGAATCCTTAGAATCCTTCTAATTGCTTGCTTTTCCACTCCTGGTTTGCTTTTTTTTTATTTTTGGGAGAGTCGTTGGGTACTGCGGAAGATACCTCGTCTCAGGTCCCTGATCATTGTGAAGAAAGAGGTACACAGAGATTAAAAAAAAGGGGTTCTCACCTGAACAGAGGTCTTGGCATGTGGTGAACAGCAGGAGCACAGCAACAGCAGTTGAGCTCAAATGCAGAAAGAGCTTCTAGCAGCAGCAGCAGCAAAAGAGGGGGGGGGGAAGGTCTCAATCTCTCTCTGCATCTCCAGGTCTTATCCTATCCCATTCCATCCTTATCAGCAGAAAACGGACTAAGCACTGGCTAAACTCTTCCCAGCCAGAGACAAAAGTGATAAGCCCTGTGGGGAAGGTGGGAAGCAGAGAGTGAAGGAGCCTTTGCAACTACGAATCCTCTCTGCCCAAAGTATACAGCTGGCTGAGTGTGGCAGCCTAGGGAAGCAGAAGGCTGCGGAGGAGGGAATGTCTGGCTCATTGCTGGAGTCCTGAAAAGGAGCAAAATGTTGGACGTTGCTTCTTTTAGCTCAAGTTGTGCCTGCGAGCCTGGAAAGTTTGGGAGTGGGGTGGGGTGATTGTTTCTGAAAATGCAAGTGGAGAAGCTGGGCTTCGTGGTGACTGTCGGAGGAGCAGAGATGTAGTTGAGGTCACACACTGCATCCTGGGCACAGAAGGCTCACAGGTAGACATGGACGGACCCCGTTTGTCAGGAGGAAGAGATGGAGCATCTGCCACGACTAATGATACGTTCATGAAGAAAAGCCAAGTGGAAAATACAAAA